TAGTGAGATGTCAATTTTGTGTAACCCAAATCTCACCTAAGGTACTTGTAGTAAGCAAATAGGTGTGTGAGTTCCATGATGTTAGGTGACCCCAAGATACAACATGATGCTTATTTATGTTGTGTGACGAGTGTACTCTTGAATTCATAATTATGAATGTAGCATGCTCATTTGCTAGATACATGTAGTATAGCTGTGTATCTGTGTGGCACTGAGCTTGTGAGCTTAACCTTCGAGATATATTTCCTCGTGCAGGTTCTTAGATGCCAGTTCTAAGAGCTCTTTGCCATATTTCAGAATTTCCAGACTTGATCCTCTATCAGAGTATGTCTCGAGTATTATAGTGGGCATTTACTGTCATAAACCCTTGTAAATTGTTGAGTCGTAAACTCAATTTGAAACTTATATATTTTAGAGACTATTGTTGGGAGCTCTCTCATATTTTGTAAACTTATTATATTTGGTGTTTTATTATGTTCTAATTTATAGATGTGTTTACCACTTAGGTGGTCCCGTGTAACATTCTAATCCTCTAGATTTAGTTCGTGTTGAATTATGGTGTTACATTTAATGGTATCAGAGCGTCAGGTCCAGTCTTTCCTAGGACCACGAGTTAGAGTCCTTAGGTGTCTATGATATATATGCCTCTAGAATGTTAAGCGCACTTAAAAGTATAGAAATGGAAATGTTGACTCTTATCCTTTCTTGAAAACTCATAGGTTATGGCTGATGATCCCGCCCATAGTTAGGAGGGTTGTGAGGAAATTCATTTTTCTCAAGATGAAAACACAAAATACAAGTTCGTTCTTGACTCCGATGATATGGGCATCCCAAAGGAGGTGAGTATAGTCGAGGCGACATTCTTTAGTAACCTCACGCATGCGCTGAGGCATATTATTAGGGTTATCCCTAGGGCTCCCTCTCCACCCTCTCAACCTACACCACCCTGTGTAGTCCCTCTCTGAGAGACTTAACAGTTACAAAACCATTGATTACTTGGGTTCGAAAGACGATGACCTTATGGCTGCTGACCAGTGGCTTTATGAGACCCTTCGTACCTTGCGACAGTTGCATCTTACCCCTGAGGGTAAGTTAGAGTGCATCACTACCTGTTAAAGGGTAATGCAATAGATTGGTGGGAGATCGTGGAAATGGCATTGGAGCTATAGCAATCGATGTGTGTTGAAAACATTTTGATATTTCGATATAACAAATTAAATGTTATTGGATTCCAATATTTTCTAATCATTTTCAAATATATATTCGATCAAACTATTCGAATATCAAAATATTACTCCAAGTTTTTCAAATGTCAATTTCAATCTTTACTCATGCGTAAAACTGTGTTTTAATCTCTTAAACAAGTTTACAAAGTATTTCGACCCTTAATCGAGCCAAAAATATTTTCATAATAAAACCCAAACCTTAAAAGGCAGATTGCCCATATGGTACCGATACCCCTTAGAGGGTATCGATACCCCATTGTAAGATTTGGCTCCGAGAACTAACAGATTGCTCGGAGGGTACTGATACCCCAGAGGGTACCGATAGCACCTTGTAAGATTTGGCTCTGAGAAATAATAGATTACTCGGAGGGTAATGATACCCCCCAGAGGGTACCGATACCCATCAGAGGGTACCGATACCCTCATCTTATAACATTCGAAATATTTGAATTTTACACAGCAGAGAACTGATACCCTATGAAGGGGGTACCGATACCCCCACGCTCCTCAACTGTTTTATTAATTGTTTTCAAACACTAACGACTCTATTAACTCGACTAATTATCCCTAACGTTCAAAAGTGATCCAAGGAGTATTTAAACAAGATTAGAAGCTATTGATCAATAACAACAAAAATAATCATTAATAATCAAGAGAGAATCAAAGAGAAATCATCAAACCTCAAGTTTGAGCATTTTTCAAGCCTATTTCATTCAATAATCATTTTTTCTTTCAAGAACACTAGTTGTGCTCAGTTGTATTATTCTTGAGTGTTCTTTCTTTTTTCTAGAATTGTGCAAACATATTTCCTTGTGAGGATTTTCTTGTAAGTTTGCAAAATTTGTATTGTTCTCTTTGGGAGAGAGTGTTCTCAAGAATTTGGGGTATAATTCTTGAGGGATTTGTAAGTTTACTCTTTATCCTCAAAAGAAAGACAAATTAGTGAATTTGTGGAAAATCGTTAGTGTGGATAGCTAAGGTAGTGGACGTAGACTTCGGTTGAGAAAGTTGAACCACTCTAAATCGCTGTACAAATATTTTCAATTTTCTGCAAAATCTTCCAATTAAATTTTTATTGCCAATTCACCCCCTATTGGTCGATTCTATCGATCGATTAACTCAATAATTGGTATCAGAGCCTCACTCATTTGAAGGTTTAATCACCTCTTGAGTTGATTCGGGAAGAGTTACATCGATAATCAAGTCATCAATGGCCTCCACTTCAAACTCCGACTTCGGTCTTTATTCATTGCCCGTCAACAAGCCTTCTTTCTTCAATAGAGCTAATTATGCTTATTGGAAGAATAAGATGATGTACTTCATTCAAGCAAGTGACATGGGATCATGTACTATCATAGTAGACAGATACATCACACCTTCAACTCATCCAAGATTGTGGAGTGAAAAAGAGACAAGAATGTTCCAGCTCAACTCTAAAGCTATCCATATTATTTTTTGTGCTCTTGGACCAGATGAATACGGGAGAGTATCATCTTATACAACTGCCAATGAGATATGAGATAAACTACAAGTCACCCATGAAGGTACAAACGAGGTAAAAGAATCTAAAATTAGTCTTCTAACTCATAGCTATGAAAATTTCAGGATGAAATCGGATGAAGATGCCAAAGCTATGACGGATAGATTCTCCACGATTGTCAATAGTCTCAAATCATATGGAGAAATTATTCCAAACGACAAGCTTGTAAGGAAGTTAGTTTACTCTCTTTCAAAAGCTTGCCAATCAAAGAAGATGACAATCATCAAGGCTAAGAACTTAAAATCCTTGACCCTCGATGAGCTTATTGGCTCTCTCCTCTCGCATGAAATGATACTTAAAAAAGAGGAAGACCTCAAGAAAAGAGATGAGCCAAAGAAGGAGTTGGAAAAGAAGAAGAACGTGAGAGTTGCTCTCAAATCAACAAAAGATGAGAGTGATTCGGATGAAGATGGCGATGATGATGACGAAGAAATAGCATTATTTGTCAAACGGTTCAGAAAATTAATGAGGCCCAACCAAGGAATAAAATTAAAACGAAATGAAGGCTTCAAGAATGAACTAAAAGAGAATGACCAGATCATTTGCTATGAATGCAAAAAGTCGGGGCATGTCAAATATGATTGCCCACAATTGAAGAAAAAGGGTCAATCAAAGAATAAGCACAAGGCTCACGTGGCTACATAGAGCGATGAAAAAAGTTTTGATGAAGAGGAACAAGAAGTAGCAAACTTGTGCTTGATGACATTCGAGGAAGATTCTCAGGTTACCTCTAGCTCATTTAATTTTGAAGATTATTCATTTGATGAGCTATTAGAGGAATATACTGGGTTGGATTCGGAATATATTGGGTTGCAGAAATGCCTGGTAGGTACTATGGCAACGGTATGTTCTTCGAATCAGGTGGTTGACAGATTACATGCAGGGGGCTTGGGAGAGGTCAGAACTAAGTTTTTGGGAGGGAGAGATTTCCTTTTAGAATTTGTGGACGAAGAGCTTTATACGTTCATGAAAGAGCATAATTGGTCGTTCTTACGGGAAGTTTTCCTAGAAGTTAATCCTTTGACAGAATCGTACAGAGCGTCTGAAAGGGTAACCTGGATTAAATTAATCGGTGTGCCATTACACTGTTGGAACCATAACACGTTCAAAAAGATAGCTGAGCAATGGGGAGAATGTTTGGCGATGGGAGAAAACGCTCTTCAGGAATTGGGATGTGAGGAGATGGCTATCTTGATAGCAACTAGAAGAAAGGATTTGATTAATGAGGTGGTTGATTTGGAGGCAGGAAGGGATGTTTTTAAAATCAGAATTATAGAACAGACTACTAGTAGAAGTGATATGAGCAGTCATAAGAAAGAAGCAAAAGTTAATTTAGTCACCGATGATTTGAGTTCGTCGGCAGGTAGGAGTATGGAACCATCGGAGGAGGAGAAGTCAGAGAGGTGGCATGAGGAAGATGATAGTCATTTAATGTTCATGGGGAACATTTCAGGAGGCAGTTGTATGTCGGGGATGGAAGACGTAGAGAGAAACATAGGGGAGGAAGCAATTATGGGTCAGAGGGACAATGATGTTTGTTCTGGGAAATCACCAAAGCAATACGAGGTGGAGGTGGAAAAGGAGGTGGATGTGGCAGAAGATGATTGTAGGTTACTATCTAAGGCGATGGATGATAATGAAGGTATAAATGAGAATTTAAAGGATTTGTCTCTATGGGAAGGCATGTTAGGTTCAAAGGTGGTGGAGGATACGGATTATATGGGCCTTACAAATTTCTTTTCTAAAAAGGATCCAATGAGGATCAATTGGATGGGAGCTTGGTAGATCCGAAGGTAAGTAAGCCCAGTTTGGGATGAGAGGGGAAAGAATGGGAAAAGGGGCTCTGCATGCAAACGAAGTCGAGCGACGATATTTTTATTCCTAAACCTAAGCAGAATATTACAGTTCTATCCAAAAAATTCAAGAAAAATATGGTGCTGCCCAGAGAAAGAATAGAAGTGGTTGTGTGAAGAAAAACTATAAGAAGGAGCTAAGTGAGGAAGAGTTGACTGAAATTGAATGAAGGTCCTTGTCTGATTCGGATCTTCAATAACGTTGGCAGAGGCAAAAGCGGGAAGTGATGAAAACTTTACAAATTGGTAGAGAGTTGGGAATTCAGTTCAAAGGCTCAGAGGAGGCGTTGGTTAAGGAAATTTCAGCTGTGGGCGAGTTTGAAAGAGAGTCCCAATCCCTGTCTATTGAATTCTAGAAGGTATCAGAGGAGGAGTGCCCAGATGCGGATTCTGTCATGGAATATAAGAGGTATGGGTTCTAATGTGAAAATCTCAGAGCTTAGGAAGTTTATTCGTATTTATAGAATTGAGATGGCATTGTTACAAGAGACTAAGAAGGAGCATTTTAAGGATACTGAAATTAGTAGTTTTTGGTGTGATGATGACTTTGAATTTAGATTCTCAAAAGCAATGGAAAAATCTGGGGGTATTCTGTCTGTTTGGGATAAGAGTAGATTTCACATCCTGGATAGCTTAATTACAGATAGATTTGTTTTGATAGAAGGGAAGTATGCTTCACATGATTTGATATTTTCTGTTATGAACGTTTATGCTCCTTGTGAAGTATCTGAACAAGTCATAGTATGGAATGCAATTGTAGAAGTTAGGAGGAAAAATAAGAATAGATGGTTCATGGCAGGTGATTTCAATGCAATAAAAAATAACAGCGAGAGAAGCGGGTGTTTTTACAGACAAACAGAGATTGTAGAGTTCAATTCGTTCATAGAGGCTTGTAATCTTGTTGACATGCCTTTATCTGGGAGAAAATTTACGTGGTTTGGACAGGGAAATAGAAAGAGTCATTTAGATAGAATTTTTGTTGAAGATGAATGGTTTAATGAAAATAGTGATGCAACTCTTTTTGGTTTACCGAGAACAATCTCGGATCATATCCCTATACTATTGGGGAAGAAAGTGGTGGATTGGGGGCCTAGACCATTTAAACTGATTAATTGTTGGTTAAATCATGAGATTTGTATTGAGATTATTAAGAAGACATTGCAGCAGGAAGAAGAAAGTGATGTAGATTTAAGCATGAAATTAAGAAGGGTGAAAGGAGCACTTCAGAAATGGAATTTACAGAGCTATTGGAATGTTGATATTAAAGCAAAATGAATGGAGAAGAGGATTAATGAGTTAGATATGAAAGGCGATGTTGATGGGCTAGATAACCAAGAAAGGGAGGAACTAATGAGTTGTACAAGGAGGCTATGGGAAAAATTGAAGGAAAAAGAGGATATATGGTGCCAGAAATCAAGATCGAACTGGCTGAAATTGGGAGATGGAAACACTGCTTTTTTCCATAGAGCAGTTAAGATTCGGAGTAAAAAACACTTGATTTTGGGAGCTAATTTGGGAGAGGTCGATGAATTTGAGCCGGATAAACTTAGAGCTAAGGTTTTTAATTTCTTTAGCAACCACTTCAGACGCAATGAAAAGGAGTGGAAGATAGAGATCAATTTGCCGTTCAAACAATTATCAAGGGCGGATGTAGAAGGGCTGGAAGTGACCTTTCCTATTGAAGAAGTAAATGATACAGTGTAGAGTTGTGGGGAGGACAAAACTCCGGGTCTGAATGGATTCAATATAGTATTTTTAAAGAAATCATGGGAGTGGGTAAAAGCAGATCTGATGAAGACCATGGACAGCTTCTATAGGAATGGAAAATTGGGAAAGAATGTCAACTCATCTTTTTTAGTATTGATTCCAAAGGTGGCCAATCCGACTAAAATTTCAGAATATAGACCGATCTCGTTGGTGAGTAACTTGTACAAAATAATTGCTAAAGTGTTAGCAAGGAGATTAAGAGGCGTGATTGGAAAAGTGATTAGTGAGACTCAATGTGCATTTATAGCAGGTAGGCAGATTTTTGATGGAATTTTAGTGGCAAATGAAGTCATTCATTCATTGAATATAGAAAGGGGAGGAAGAGGTGGATTGATATTAACACTAGATTTTGCAACGGCATATGATTGTGTTTATTGGGAGTTCTTAGACTCTGTGCAGTATAATATGGGTTTTGGAAGTACATGGAGACGTTGGATTTGGGAATGTATCTTGACAGTTAGAGTTTTTATTCTTTTAAACGGGTCTCCTACAAAAGAATTTAAAATGTACAGAGGCTTACGGCAGCGAGATCCATTGTCCCCCTTTTTATTTATAATGATAAATGAGGCTCTTCATCTTTTGCTAGAAGGAGCTATTCGCAAAGGATACATTGATGGTATTGAAAATATGGCACCAAATATAAGTATTTCACATTTGCAATTTGTGGATGATACGATATTGTTCATTCGTCCAGATCAAAGAAGTCTAGTCAATGTTAAGAGAATCCTGAAATGCTTTGAATTGGGTTTGGGTTTAAGCATTAATTTCAGGAAGTCGTGCTTAGCAAGGGTGAAAATTGAAGAGGATAAACTAAAATAGCTAGCTCGTTTGGGTTGTTGTTCTGCGTGCGCATTGCCGTTTAAATATTTGGGAATTCCATTAGGTGCAGATCCCAGAAGAATTTCGATGTGGGAACCTGTAATTAAAAAGTTTAAAGCTAAATTGGTGGGATGGAAAACCAGGACGCTATCTTTTGCTAGGCGATGGTTCTCATTAATTAAGTGTTGTCAATGCAGCTATTTTATTATATGTCAATATTCCATGTTCCAAAAATGGTTATATAAAAAATTGATAAGAATAGAAGAGGTTTTTTGTGGGGTTATGATGGAAACAAAAATATATTGGCAATGGTGAATTGGGGTAGACTGTGCTGTCCAAAAAAGAAAGGTGGGGCTGGAATAATCAATCTAAAGGCAAATAATATGGCGTTACTCGCTAAGTGGGGTTGGATATTTGCAACTGAAATAGGGGCGTTATGGAGGTCAGTAATTAGTCACAAATATGGCTCAGGTGATCTTCCTTGGTTGGTTAGTCTTGGAGATACAAAGAAAGCTTCGATAACATGGAGAGGGATCGTGAATAATTTGTCTAGTGAAGGTACAACTAAATGGATGAGTGGAGAATCATTCAGGTGGGTAGTGGGTGATGGGAAATCAGCATTACTTTGGGAGGATGTGTGGTTTGGGGAAAGTGCTTTAAGATCAAGATATCCTCGTATTTATATGTTAGCGTTGAGGAAATATATTACGGTGCGTGATATGATATCTGTAGGTGAATGGAAAAGCTTAGATACAACAGCTTTGTTCAAGCAAAAATTGCTTGTCAGGGAATTAACTACTGTTCGAATTATAAAACGTGAAGTGGACGTTGTGAGTTTTAATCGTCTGTGACTGATCGGATTGTATGGGTGCATGAGACTGATGGTTTGTTTAAGGTTAAGAAATTGACCGAGCTGCTCCTCAGTGACGGGTATTTTGAAGATGAATGTTCGTTTAATTTTGACAAAATATGGAATCTAAAAGTCCCACCGAAGGTGAAATATTTCCTATGGATGATTAAATTGAACAGAGTTCCAACTAAGGTATTCCTCTTTAATAAAAAGATTAAGTTGTCCGATGTTTAACGCTTATGCCCATGGTGTGGAGATGCTGAAGAGGATGCGAATCATCTGTTTGTGTCTTGTATTTTTATGGCTTGTTTTTGGAATGCTTTCTGCAGGTGGTGGCATATTCCAGGCTTTAATTTGCAGACAGTGGATGAAATTTTTGAGTTTTGTTTTCAGTTTAGATGGTCAGAATCTATAGCCTTGGCTTGGTTTGTAAGCTTTGCAGCAGTGTTATGGAGCCTGTGGTTGGCTAGGAATGATCTAGTTTTTAAGAGTAAAAGCATGAAACTCAAAGACCTGATGGTATATGTGAAGATGAGAGCTTATGCTTGGTGTTAGGCATTGAAGGTTTTTAGTGTTTTAGACGAGAAACGTTGGTGGGATTGGCCAGGGGAGTCAGCGGATCTAAGTGTACAACAACGTCCCAAGTCTGTCTGGAAGTCGCCAGTGTCGGGCCAGATGAAGTTCAATGTAGATGGCTCAGCAACGAATAAGTCAGCAGGGTGTGGGGGAGTCTTGGGGACTGCAGAAGGTTATGTAGTATCAATGTTTTTTGGGCCGGTAACAGAGGTCAATTTAGATTTTACGGAGCTTGTAGCTATCAAAACTGCATTAGACATGTTTTTTGAATCTTGCTGGTGTGGGAAGACTGGTTTGATCATTGAATTTGATTCAAAGGTAGTGTTGAACTGGATACAGAATGTCTCAGCTTGACCATGGAGGTGGGGGTAATTTTTCAGGGAATTCATGTTAATGCACTGAAGATATCCGAGTTGAAGTTTGCGTTCTCGCCTAGGAATACTAATAATATGGCAGATTACTTGGAAAAGATGGGCTCCAAGAGGAAAGTTTTGTTCAAGGCTAGCTGGTGATATGTAGAAAGGGAGTTATCCTAGTAGTTTTATTATGTACCTGGTTTAAATGTTAATTTGATCGAAATGGAGGTTATTAGGATTTTTTCTAATGTTTGTTAGGGGTTGGGTATTGTGGACATTTTTTTTCTTTGGTAAGGTGGGGTAGTTTTGGTTTAAGTTGTGCTTCATCTATATTTTGGGTATTTCATGTTATGAGCTTTGGTGTTTTTTCTCAATTTTGAGCACTCTTTTCCCCCCATTTAGGATTAGGGGGGTTTTTAATGAGGCTCAAGTTGGGGATATCTTATGAATTTTAATAAAAATTTCTGATTGCTGAGCAAAAAAAAAAAGCTTAGAAGCTATTGATCAATAACAACAAACAACAATCATCAAGAATCAAGAGATAATCAAAGAAAAAGAATCAAACTTCAAGTTTGAGCATTTTTCAAGCCTATTTCATTCAATATTCATTTTTACTTTCAAGAACACTTGTTCTGCTCAGTTGTATTATTCTTGAGTGTTCTTTTTTTTTCTAGAATTGTGCAAACATATTTTCTTGTGAGGATTTTCTTGTAAGTTTGCAAAATTTGTATTGTTCTCTTTAAGAGAGAGTGTTCTCAAGAATTTAGGGTATAATTCTTGAGGGATTTGTAAGTTTACTCTTTGTCCTCAAAAGAAATACAAATTAGTGAATTTGTGGAAAATCCTTAGTGTGGATAGCTAAGGTAGTGGACGTGGACTTTGGTTGAGAAAGTCGAACCACTCTAAATCGTTGTGCAAATATTTTCAATTTTCTACAAAAGCTTCCACATAAATTTTTATTTCCAATTCACCCCCTATTGGTCGATTCTATCGATCGATTAACTCAACAATTGGTATCAGAGCCTCACTCATTTGAAGGTTTAATCGCCTCTTGAGTCAATTTGGGAAGAGTTACATCGAAAATCAAGTCATCAATGGCCTCCACTTTAAACTTCAACTTCGGTCTTGATTCATTGCCCGTCAACAAACCTCATTTCTTCAATAGAGCTAATTATTCTTATTGGAAGAATAGGATGATGTACTTCATTCAAGCAAGTGACATGAGAGCATGGAATATCATAGAAGAGAGATACATCAAACCTTCAACTCATCCAAGATTGTGGAGTGAAGAAGAGACAAGAATGTTCCAGCTCAACTCCAAAGATATCCATATTATTTTTTGTGCTATTGGATTGGATGAATATGGGAGAGTATCATATTGTACAACCGCCAAGGAGATATGGGATAAACTACAAGTCACCCATGAAGGTACAAACGAGGTAAAAGAATATAAAATTAGTCTTCTAACTCATAGCTATGAAAATTTCAGGATGAAATCGGACGAATATGTCAAAGCTATGACGGATAGATTCTCCACGATTGTCAATAGTCTCAAATCATATGGATAAATTATTCCAAATGACAAGCTTGTAAGGAAGTTAGTTTAATCTCTTCCAAAAGCATGGCAATCAAAGAAGACAACAATCATCAAGGCTAAGAACTTAAAATCCTTGACCCTCGATGAACTTTTTGGCTCTCTCCTCACGCATGAAATGATACTTAAAAAATAGGAAGACCTCGAGAAAAGAGACGAGCCAAAGAAGGAGTCGGAAAAGAAGAAGAACGTGGGAGTTTCTCTCAAATCAACAAAAGATGAGAGTGATTCGGATGAAGATGATGATGATGAATAAATTGAATTGTTTGTCAAACGGTTCAGAAAATTAATGAGGCTCAACCGAGGAATAAAA